CCGCAGCGACGCCAAAGTTTCCGAAAAAAACTGAGTGACACGCCCCATCGGCTCTCGGACGGAAAATCCTAGCAGATGGAGATTCAGAGTGGCGGACTGGATCTGAAAATATGAATCGGATCGGACAGAGAGTGGAAGTCATAACCCCCAACAAAATTAAAAGCAAAAGAAATGATCCAGAAAAATGACTAAAACAAGCAAGCATGTATGGATGTATTCAAATCATGATCGAACACCAGAATTTCTTACGAGATGAAAAAATGGACTGACACCAAGTACTGGTGAACACAAAGTGAAACCAAATCCTCCCTGGTGGAGAAGCTCCTGATGGCATTGATGACTGATTTATAGGAAAAAAGATTAATTTCATGCTCGAGCGAAAATATTAGTGGCGTTTGAAAGAAGAGAAAACGGAAGAACGTTGACTTCCCAGTCCTAAAATTTGCCAAACTTACTTTATATAAAACGGTGCGTTTTACTTTTATTTGCTCCTTCTCCCTCAACAGTAAACTCTCCTCATCTTAACGCAACGCAAAGAACCAAAATCCTCTTTTCACTTGCTAATCGAAAAGGTCAGGACTGCATTACCAAAATCCTTTCTCCTCCTCACTCAATCCATAACCAAGGGTCTGATCAAATCTTTTTCCATGTCCATTGACTACCCTGTAGATTTTTCCTTTTTCAAAGTTCCTTGAAAAATATAAATTTTCATTTTCGTTTCCATTTCAAGTGGGGGCTCCAAAGAATTTGGCATGATCAATTCATCAACCCCTTCAGAAACCCCTACCTCATTTCTCACACTTTGATTCCAGTTTATATTTCTCTCTTTTCTCGAAATTGCCTTGGGTACCCACTTGATTTCCATTAGTGGGCACTTGTTTTCTTGATTTATAGCTTCAAAAATTAAGTAAAGACATAAGGTTGGTCTAGGTATTTAATGGTTTAAAATTATTTTTGATTTAATAATATTAAATTTTTTATAATTAATAAAATAATTAAATTTATTAAGTTAATATAAAAACTTATCTGTATAATTTATATTGGCAAAACTTTCAATTTAATAATTAATTTTTAAGACCTTCCGCGAGGAGTAATTTCGTTAGCTCGAGACAGCAATTATCAGACCGCAAGCTCGAGCAAAAAAATTAGTCACAAATTTTTTAAACTCGGTGGACTGATGGTGGGATACGGTTGGTTTAGTGAAGGGAAAAAGTGGAAAAAGGGTATTAATGGAAAGTTGAATTTTGCAAAACCACATAAAAAACGAAACAAAACCCCATTCCTAATTTCAAAATTATAAAGTAAAGTCAGGGCAACAACAGAAGAACTTTGAAAGCACATTTAAAAATTTATTTTTTAATTAATTTGTTTTAAAAAATGATATTTGAATTAAAAATTTTATTTATATAAATCTTATAAGTCAATTTT